TTGTACATGAAAGATATCTAATAGAAACTTTGAATTCACTAGAGAAATCTTGCCCCAGCTGTGATTTTGCAAATCAAAAGAAACCAGACTGCTAAAAAACTAGTAGAGACATAGGACTTTTCACATTTAAATGAATTATTCAAAACTAGGTCCATCTGCAAGTGAGGAATTTCACCATCACTTTCCAGTTCACAGGATGGTAGATAAAAGTGATAAAATATACTCTTCTGTCTAAAATTTCATGACTTGATCTGAAAGTCATTTAATGGCCTGTGGAATGCATTTATGATCTTCATTTAGCTCCCGGTAATTATCCACGTCAAAGAAACTGCCAATAGTTAGCACTCCTTGTCACAGTATCATAGTAACTACGGTCCTAAGTAGAGATGGTTTTTCCAGGATGGAAATTAAATCTCATGGGGACAGTGGATAGAAGTTGGGCACTGGTAGTGCTGCCTTGTGGAATACACTTTCCAGGGATTCTTTCATGAGCATGAGGTTTATGTTAAACTACCAAAGTTGGCTTCTGCTTAGCCATTTTTTTCAGGCTCTCTATGCTGTCTCTACATCCTGCAGTTCTCTACCAAACCCAGATTAATGCCTGCCTATAATGCCCTGATAGGGCTTCACTAGACAGCAAGAACATTAATAGCTCCCAATTCCTTCCCATGTCACTCATTTTTTCAGAACTACTGTGCAAAGGAATATTTAAAAAATTGCACTGACAAGCATATTACTGTATTTTAGGTTCAGATATACAGTCTCCAGTAGCCTAATCAGAAAAAATGTTCTCTCAACTGCCAAACTCAACATTTCTCATTGTCGTGTAACTTCTAAATGGGGGGGGGGGGGGTTCTGGAATTACTATGGAAAAGTGTGGGTGCTAGATTTGACAGGTAAATGTTTTCAACACTAAAAGTACTCCATTTTAGGTCTATATAGAGGTCCTTACTGAATCCCAACCTTAATTTATTTTTTTTAATTAAAGTTTTAACATTTCAGAAATTAAATTAAGCCCCTGATTCATTGCAGCAAGTTAGTATTGCTTAAAAATGCAAAAAATGTTTCTTGTTAAACGGTGTAAATTGTTGGGACACTTCATGAATCAAAAGCACGAAAAAAGTTAATGCAGACTGAACTATTTGCTGCTTTTAATTATTTAAAGCAGTATATGTGATAAAAGAAATTTCTACAACAGAATCCAGATTGCTTCACTGTGCCCCATGTTAATATTAAGGACCAATAATAAACTAATCAAGACAAGAACAAAACAGAAAAGGGTCTGTGAAAGTTATAGGAATTTTCACTTGTATTGTTCGAACAGAAAATGGAGAAATGGAAACCTGGCTGTATTACCAGCTCCAGCAAAACAAAAAACCACCACCTTCTACTACAAGGAAGGGTATTCCTTCAGTCAAACAAAAGGAATAGTACACAATCAGCATCTGGTTCACATAACTGCCTGGCAGCTGAAAGGAGGAATCTAAAAAGTATGAGTTTGAACAGTTGGCCTTAAAGTTCTTCAAATAAAATTTCACTATGCTCAGACAAATGGACAGGGTTTGCCATTTTTCATTGGATACATCTGCAAGACAATTTGTAAATTAATACTAAATTAATCGTGTGCATCACAAATTAAATCTAAATGAAACTTTTTTCCTTTTGATTGACATGCAACAATGAACAGTGAAGCTTTTGAAGACAGACGCCTTTCAACCTTTCTTCAGCTTCCCAACATCAGCTGCCCAGACAAGATTTCCACAATACAGAAGACAAAACTAGCCGCAACACATTAGTGCTGGAGGAAAACAATGCAACTTGTCGGAATAAAATTTAAGCAACAAAGAAATGACAACAATTACACTGATTAAGACTCATTTCTGCACATTCTGACTGCAGTCTAATGGCTGGCAATCCCCCTCCAAATACACAAAGAAGGGAAGAAGTATCAGACAGCCACACTGCCTGACAGGTTCACAACTCTCCAGAGCTGTAAGCACAAAAGCTGATGGTGTTATATTCCCTGTCAGAGCACTGTGGTGCATACGAGTCTCTATAACAGCTGCCCTACATAGCTCATCAGGTGAGGCCTCTCTTTCTTGCAGCCTCCAAAAACTTTTGCTCTGCTTGGAAAAATATTTATCATGGTCAAAAAGAAAACATTCCTTCCAACTGGGAAATTAAGAATCTCTAACCACCACCTTGACACAATTAGCTCCCTTACCTAAGCAAGGGAAAAACAATTAAAATTACGAAGTTTATCCAGCAGACTCCAGTGTCACGTGCATCAGCATCCCTGCACTGAAAAATGGTGGTAGGGGTGCTTTAATCAAAGCTCATTTCATCCAGCTTTAGTTAAAGCACCCCCGTCACCATTTTTCAGCATGAGAATGCTGACATATGTGATGCTCTGGGCACTTTAAAGCAGCTCCCCTCCCAGAGCATGTCTATAAACACATCAAGTTTTGAAAATTGGGCCCTAACTAAGTTTCCCAATTACACAAAGCAAAGAAATGCAGAGCTGAATAGAATCTCAGACATCATACAGATACCACGGTGATAAGAACAATGCCCAGACACATGCATCCCAACTCCTGTGCTATGCTCCCCTTGCGTGCTCCCCGGCAGACCCAGAAGTGGACTGGAAGTGTTTCCAGTCCGCTTCTGGGTTTGCTGCCGAGCATGTGGAGGACTTCCATTCACTCCTGTGAGATGCTCCATCCACCTCACCATTGCAGTGTTTATGAGCCGCACTGGTACCTTGAGGTATGTCAGAAAAACATTTAAAGCTGTGTCTATGGCCAAAATCGAATCAGCATCGAATCTTCAGATTTGGATTTGGCCAAATCTAATTGGGGACAGCAATCCAAATCAAGTAATGGAATTACTGTTCCTGCTTCGGACCGAATCCGAATCAAATACAGCCTGCTTTGCACACCCCTAATTAATACTAGCCAACTGCCCGTCAAGAATGACAGGCAAGGATGGAGCCTTGTGAGCCTCATGCCTGCCCAGGTCTAGGCCCACTCCCCCATTCTCTCCTGCTGCTTGGGGACTGGGCCCGCTTCCCCCCTTCCCCACCACAACGGTGAGGGGAGAGTAGGATGGGACTGGGCCTGATGTGGGGGAGAACTGGGCCCAACGGTGGGGAGACACCAGGTTGCCAGGGCTGGGGGGGAGCAGTGGGCCTGAGCCAACCTGGCGGCAGTGGGGGGATGGGAGAGAAGTGGGCCCAGGCCTGAAGCAGGGAGGAAGCCAGCTCCTTGCCTTTCCCTGCTGCTGCCACATCAGTCTGGGCCAGGCTGGGCCCACTGCTCCCTGCACACCACCATGACAGGCTGGCTTCTCCCCCTGCTCAGGTTTGCTCCTCCCACTCCCCCCCCCCACATTGGGCCTGGAACCACTCCTCTGCTCCCCCCACCACCACCGCGCACCCACTCCTCCCCCAACCCATATCAGGCCCACTCCTCTCCCCACCGCTGCTGCATCAGCCCTGCAGGCAGCGATAACAGAAGGGGAAAGGGGAGGTTGTGGGCCAAGGCCAGCGCCAGTGACTGAATCCCCCACCCCGCGGCATCCTGACCCCCCTTACCTCCCACCATGCTGCCGCTGTCACCTCCGAGGAGCAAGGGAGGAAGGGCAAGGCCAGCTCTGGTGGCCTCGCCCCCCGCCCCCACTCTATCGTCATGACCTGCAAGAAGCGTCCACTCCATTGCCACCACCTCCAGGGAGCTCTGCCCCCTGTGCCCCCTGCCATCACAGCAGCGCTCCACCGTGCCACCACCTCCTGGATGAATGCTTATTCACACTCTGATTGGCTATTTCAGTCAGCCAATCTGAGCGCAAATAAATCATTATGAAAAGACTGACAGACAAGGCTATTATTTGAATGCTTTTGTATACAATAAACGTAGCTCATGGTCTTAAAGGCTAATTACATGGGCTCCATCCTCCCCAATATCTACACCCTCACAAATGTCACACATACTAATCGAATCATAACCACACCTACAGGTCACAGGATCATAGCTGGCTATCCTTTCACCAGCCCCTCTGTAGGCTATGGGCACTCTGGCCCCCTTGGTCTCCAACTGTAGCTCTCCTGACCTTTGGTCCTTCTTCTTAGACCCTGGGCCCACTCCTAGGCCAGCTGAGATCCACAGACTCTGCAGCTCTGCCAGTCTCTGGTTATGGCTCTTTTGACCTTTGGCACCTCCTGAGCCCTGGCCCTGCTGGGGCCAGTGAGACCTATAGGCACCCTGGCCCTACCTGCTTCCCAGGCCCTCTACTGTCTTTCCCGGCCCCCTGGACCTCTATTCTCTCTCTCTCTCTCTCTCTCTCTGTCCCCTCTCTCTCTGGGCCAGCTGGGACCTCCTTACCTCCCCTTAGTTCCTTCCACAATCCACCAGATGTTCCCCAACCCAAAGCCTGTATCCTGGCTGCTCCACTGGCCCTAAAGCTGAACTCCCAGCCCTAAGGCTGCCTGCCCACAGACATACGTGGTGCAAGCCAGAGTCACTCTCTCAGCAGTCTGCCTAGGTGCTCCTTCCCTGTCAGATACTGGAATAAGACTGCCCCCACCTACCTCAGGCCCTGGGTTTATATATACCTCAAGCCCCCTTCCAGTCGGGTGTCTTCTCTGATTGCTACCTGAGCTGTTTCTAGAGCCTTCTCTCCTCTAAATGTGATGGGTGTGCTAAGCACCGTCACATATATATATATTCTTTTTGAAGTAATCCAATTTATTGTACCAAGCACTTATTTCATTTCCTCAGCTTGTGATGCCTTTATAATAACCCAACCTCTAAAATGAATATCTGTCAATTCATTATTTTAAATTTCAGAATAACAATGTGACAGAAAACACTAGCAGAAATCTGCAAGATGCAAGGGCCACCTCTCCTCTTAATCCACATACAGTGATGTTATCAATTATGTCTTTATACTGTCAAATGAACTTAAAACTACCAATCAGTTATGCAAGCAATTAAGTATCATACCTCCAAGTTCCTTTACATTCAAGATGGCATTCTGGAACGGCACAGCTTTTATGCTAAAGCCTGAAATTAAAATAAAAAGTGTTAGTATCCTACTTGACTGGGTGACAATTTGAAAAAGAATATATCCATTAAAAACTTCTATTTTGTTCACTGTGGCTTTTGACAGACGACTCTCCTAGTAACATTAAATATCATGGGAAGACAAGAAGCACTGAACAGAAAATAAAACCAACACATGAAGAAGCATGAGACTGTCAGTACAACTCTTATTAGGGTTTTATTAGCTTGGCAAAAGGAATTCTATTCAGGCAATAATTTGACAATTAAAGTTTCTTCCTCACAATCTTATATTCTGGCACACGTTTAAGAAACTATGAACAATAAAAGCAGATGGGCTATGAATGCTTTTAAACAATCCCCATTAACCTAATTTTCCTGAAACTGAATCTTTGCAGTCTTTTCATCAATAATACAAACTAAGTTCTTTAAGATTTTGAGAGACAGAGGACACTAAGTCAGCTAATTGTATACTGTGCTTTATTTTTAAACAAGATAGTTAGTGGTAGAGGTGCACCAATACATCGGCTCAATATCGGATTGGCACCGATATAAAGAAAATTGATTGCATTGGAAATTGGCCTGATGTGGCTGATAAACGCCCATTCGTGTCAGCAGCTGCAGCGCAGCACATAGGAAGCGAGGAGCACAGCCTGGCAGCTTGGAAGCTGTGTGCAGCTGGTAAGTCTGGTGTGGTAGAAGGGGAGGGAGGAAAGAAGAGGCATGGAGGGGGCGCAGATCAAGGCCCCTGTGGTGAGGGAGGAGTAGGTCTGGGTCTGGGGCAAGCACTGCCCAGCCACAGCAGGGCAGGCATGGGACGAAGCCATGGCTCAGTCGGGAGGCACAGGGAAGGGAGGGAGTGGCTCCCACCGCTATGCACTGCTCATCCAGGAGCTGCTGGTCCAGCACTTGCCTGCTTGTCCAGCAGCTCCTGCTCCTGTTCCTGCCATTCATCCGGGAGGGCATGTGGGGCAGAGGTGTGTGTGTACCTGGATCTGTACAGGGCAGGGCGAAAAGATCTCTGTGCAGCCCCTGCCCCAGCCCATGCTGTGCAGGTCTGGGGGCACACGCGCTCCCCCCATACCCTCCTGGATGAGCAGCAGGAGCCATTGGATGAGCGTCAAACCAGTGGGCGAATGCCAAACCAGCAGCTCCTGGACAAGCAGCACACAGCGGTGGGAGCCACCCCACCTCCCCCACCCCCTGGACGAATCGCAGCTCCATCCCACATCCACCCTGGCTGGGCAGCGTTTGCCCCAGCCCCACTCCTTCCTCACCACGGGGGTCTTGATCTGCACCCCCATGCCCCTCCCCCTCCACCACACCAGACTTACCAGCTGCACACAGCTCTCCAAGCTGCCAGGCTGGTATCAGAAATTGGATCAGTATTGGACAATATGCCTCCTTAAAAATCCGCTATCGGTATCAGCCCCAAAAATCTCTATCAGTGCACCCCTAGTTGTTGGTTATTTAATAATAAGGCTTACAAAGAATTAATAAAAGATTCATAGAAATTACAAATGCCACACACCTGAGTAATGGCAATACATGCATCCGTGAGGTTGCCTATGCCTTTAAGAATCTTTGCATCCATTGGACTAACAGTCTATGTTGACTTATTAAACCTGTATTACTTATTCAACAACCCTTTGTAAAAAAAATGAACATTTTATATGAAATGAAACCTTTTCCTATATTAAATCAAAGATGTCCAGATAAACTGTGGAAATTTGGTGGAATGTACTTCTTGGAGGGACAAAAAATAGGTATGCATCAGAGCTGTGTGAAGCTTCAGTAGCCAATTCAATTTGAAGAATCGGCCCAATTCAGCAGCTAAATCCCCAGATCCAAATTGAATCAGGAGACCAATTAAAAGGTCCGAATCAAATTGGAAGCCTCCGAGTTGATTCAGAAAAGATTTGGTGCCAATTCGGAGATTTGGCCATAGACTAAACAAGCAGCAGTCCTCACCATGCTGGACACAGCTGCCTCCAGCTGGTAAGTCTGTTGTGGTGGGTGAAGAGGGGAGGAAAGGGGCATGGGAAGGGACTGGACAGATCAGTGGCCGCACAATGAGGGAGGAATTGGGGCTGGGGCAAGCTGCCCAGCCAGAGCAGGGGGATGTGGGACTCGGGGAGGGGAGCTCCCACCACTGTATGCCCTCTTCTGCATGGGGCAGGCTGAACCAGGCTATGCACAGGAAGCTAGCCCCAGCTCCCCACTGCCAGGCTGTGCTACATGGGTGGAGTGGAGCCAGGGCTGTACTCTGGGCAGCTAGCCCCAGCCACAGCCCAGAGTGTGCTCTGCCTGCCCCAGAGTGCAGTGGAGTGGGAGGTATGAGAGAGTTGCAGCCACCCTAAAATTCCCCATAGTCCCTGCTGCCGGCTCCTCCCTGATCTGGATGCACACACCTGCCTCCATGCCCTGTCACTGCTCACCCACGGCTTGTCTGAGAGGCATGGGGAGGCTGGGCAAGTGGTGGGAGGGCACAGCCCCCACTCCCAGTGCCTTCCACCACCTATCTGGAGTGCAGGATGGCCCAGGCTCCCCTGGGGAGATCCGGAGACATACACCTGCTCTCATGCCCTTCTGGCCCAATGGTGCACGCCAGTGCACAGTGGCGGGACCCCTGCCTTCCACAAGTCCAATGCCCCTCTCGCCCCGCTGGGCAGCTTGTCCCAGCCCCAACCCCAATCTCTCCCTCACTGTGGGGCCATTGATCTGCCCTTCCCTCCATGCCCCTTCCCCCTGCCCACAACAGACTTACCAGCTGGAGGTAGCTGTCTCCAGCGTGGTGAGGACTGCTGCCTGTTTAGTCTAATCACTGAATCTCTAAAATCGGCACTGAATTTTTGGATCCGAATCGCCTAAATCAAATCAGGACCGTGATTCAAATTACCAAATCGAATCACTGTCCCTCTGAATCAGCCAAATCCAAAGCAAATACTTGCTGCTTCGCACAGGCCTAGTATGCATAACCAGTGTTACACAAAAATTATGGTTGCCTGAACAAACGTGCTCAAAGATGCTATACAGTTTTGTAAAACATACATATCATCATCAAATGTACGTAACCAGTATCTTTGAACAAATCTGCTTCAAAGTCCATTTTGAGGGCTGCAGAAACCTAACAATCCAGTATTCTATTTATTGATAAATAGGACAAGGAAGTGACCATACCTCCCCAAACCAGCAGTTTATATATTCCCATACTCTGACTCCAGTGCTGGCTAAAACTGAATGCTTCAAAAGCAAAGTGCAAAAAAAACCTGAATGGAACAGATATGGAATAATCTGCCCGTGTGGCAAGTTTCTTCTAAACCACTAAGTTGAATGTTTCATTACACACTGAAGTGGCTGAGTTTATAATCTTTTAAAATTATAAATATAACCACGATCAAAATATATTAAGCATGCATTTTGCAAGGTACAGCATTTCCTTGCATCTATTTTATTTTTTCTTTTAGTTGTATTATGATCTCATATGTTAACTTAAGCACTTAAAACCAGTTAGAGTTGCTAAAGGAAAATAATGCTCGACTTAAGAACCCAATACAGAAGGAGGACAATGTAAAACCACATACACATATATAGATCTCTCAAATAACTACTGTCCATTCCCTTTAGCAAGTCAAACTTACTAAGTCATTAAGGTCACAAAACATTCCTTCAATTCTATATGACCTATTCCATCTTCCTTATTGGTTCTATAACCAGATATTCATTTTGTCATAATTTTTTTTATTATTAATATCATTATGATTGTTGCTGTTATCATTATCCTATTACTATTATTATTGCAAATATAATTTGGTTATTGTATCATGGTCTTCTATTCTCATGCTTTCAGATTCACCTGTATTTATATTTTTTTTCTAGGTTCCTCAATTGACCTAATTTTTAAATTTCAGCAGTGCCTGGTTTTTATTTTTCTTCCATCTTTGTTTTGTAGAATATATTATTGATCTAAAAACATTACTGCTCTATTCTTCTTCCCTGCCCAAAGGACAATAACAGTGGTCAAAAATAATGGCCACTGATTACATTTTCTTCTTTTGGCTACTTTCACATGCCACAGTACAGGAGCAACAGACTTTGGGAAAAAGGAAATCCAATGTGGGCCCTCTAGTTTCTTCATCCCACCCATTTACTACCACATTCTCCCCACCCCCCAGCCATGACTCCCCAATCACTTTTTGTCTATGTAGTAAAGCCCTTAAGAAATAAGGCTTCAAAGGTTTTCTTTCTTCCCTCTTTGTCTCTATGGTAAAATCCACAGGGGGTAGGAACCTTTAGAAATTAACAATTTCTACCACAATTACTCTGCAACAGACATTACTGAAGAACTATGTTACTTATGAAATGCAGTAGATGATATATTTTCATAAAAATTCTCCAGAGAAGAATGTCACCAAACTGCAAAAAAAAAGACTAACTCATCACAACTAATGGGTTAATTGCTCAATTCAAACCACTTAAAAGGCTACTTTAAAAAAATACTGTACCAAAGGTACACAGCTGTCAAAAATTCTGAGTTTTATGTTCAACCAAGCTTGCAGCACAAGTCATCTCTATTTAAAGATGCCCTTATTCTTCCAAAAGCACATAACACAGCAGTAGCATCAAGTTTGGCCAGACAAACACATTATAAGTTCTATTTGGAAAACTGATAGGAATGCATTAGAAAAAAACTTTTAAAATTGTTACTCAATATTTAAACTGAAAAATAAACAAATAATAAATGAAAAGGATAGCTTTAATCTGCATATCAGTTAACTACTTCCTGCACCCCTTATCAACTGCATCCTAATTTCTTAATAGAAAAAAGTATTCAAGAAGTGTCTCTTTTCTTTAAAAAAAAAAGCAATGATTTAATTAACAGTTATCCTAAATTCTAAGAAACAGAACTTTTGATTGAGCAAAATTCATCCTAACTACAACATCATACCTGTTGTAGACACTATATTCTCTGGACTCTCACTGCAAAGCCGTGACAGTAGACTTGTCTTGCCAGAACCCGTGAGACCTATACAAACCAAGTCATACTCGGGTCGTGGAGGAGGTGGTCCCTTGCAGCAAAGTCCTCTAAAACACTGCCAAAAAAAGAGGGGAAAAATAAAAATATTTCATATTTTAAAAAGATAAAAATAGTACAGATCACAAAGTTAAATGTAGTGTGGCATTTTGCTAGTCCTCACTTCCAGCTTTCCTAGTTTCCTGGCATGCTCAGCAGTTAGTACAGCTGGAATATAAGGAAACAATTTTTAAGAAACCAGTAATGTACCTATTAGTTCCTTACTTAGGTTTGACAAGTTAGGTAAGAAAACCAATTAAATTTGTTTAATAACATGGTATGCATTTAGTGAAACAGTTGCGTATTCTGCTCAGAAATGTACAGAATGAAGGCTGGAAGGGACCTCGTGAGATCATCAAGTCCAGTAATTCTGTACATCCATGTGTTCGCTGCCGGAAGCAGAATTCACAGGATATGCGAGTGTTAATCATGCTCTTATCTCAGAGTATAAATAGACATCACCAAATGAAGTGAATCAGTTATACTGTGATGGTTCTGGCACAGCTGATCCGCTTCACTGGGCAAAACGCTCATTGCCCATTGTTCCACCTGTTGATCTTGTGGAACAAGTGAGGTGTTACCTTCTTGCAGACGCGCCTTAGGTAATCTCTAGGGTGCATCTCTGTAACCAGGGAAAGCCAGCTCTAGTGTACCCCGGGAATGAAAATTCAGGCCCCTAAGAGTACCTGTCTGGGGTTGGGGGACAACCATGGGCAGCTCTGGGCTGCCCATACTCTCCCACCTTAAAAAGCAAACAGACATCAGCCACAAATACTGACACATCATCATACCACCCATGTTGCAGCCACTAATTTGGCGCATTTGTGGTACCACAAGGGGCATGGCTATCTCTTGGCTTGGCCTCTGCACCACCATACTTTTTTTATGGCAGCACAAAGGCAACACCTGTTTATACCCTAATGCCATGCCAGGACAGACTACCAAATGATTTTTCAAGCAGCTGTTGGACAGACACTCCCAGCTGTCACCATCACAGCTTCAGGAAAAATTAGAGCTCCTTTGACTTTCTACCCCTTCCCAATCTACTTTTCCAGATACTTTAAAGGAAATGGTGCCCAGCTTACCCTCAGCTTGAGCTGTTGTTCGGCATACTTTTGAAGCAGCTATCACTTCACTATATAAAAAGTTCATTAATAGGCATACTGGATGTAGAATTTCACCCTGTGCACTTCACTATGTAGATAAGTATGAATTAAAACCAGCAGCACTACAGAGTCTGAAGAACTAAATGGTTTAAAAACACACCTTCCTTTTAGCTACCTGATGCATCTTAACCCTGTACTGCACTAACAGGTTGGCCACATCCCATTTATTTGTCCATTAAACCTTTGTGTGTTGCAGGTAATCTGTTTATAAGCCAGGGATGACAGCCTACAGCCAACAGGCCAGACCTGGCCCATGAAGAGATTTAATTGGCCTGCAAAGCTAAGACAGCAGTGGCAGCAGGGTAGAAAATTGGCAGTGGTGGCCCATGTTAAGATCAGGCGGAGTTAAAATGGTTGCCAGCCTCTTCTGTAAGCAATTTTTAAAAATCATTATGACAAAAACCAATGCTAAAAGCTTCCAAGTATTTACAAATGTATGAATATTTATCACATTTTAGTTATGCCTGTAGAGTGTATTGTTCAAAACTAACTTTTATAAACATCAGTTCTCTCAATACTCAGCCTTGGTGAGGCCACAACTGGAGTCCTGCATCCAATTCTGGGCTCCACACTTTAAAAAGGATGTGGAGAAGCTTGAGAGAGTCCAGAGAAGAGCCATGCGCATGATCAGAGGTCAAGAGAGGAGGCCTTATGAGGAGAGGCTGAGAGGCATGGG